TAAACCACCTGTATAAGTGACTAATTGAAAACACTACGTTTTCTGGTAGGTCTTCCTGTTCTAATTCTCTAACCGCCCCAACTCTCTAAAACTCCATAGGTTCCCATCTAATTTTTTAAGCAAAACTAGTAATTATTGCCAAAATTTTATATACTATTATACATAAAAGATTACTAGCTTTTTCGTTCTGCGTACATCATAGTATACAATATACCATACGTCAACAAAATGAAAACGTAAACGTCTCTTTCTGTAGCCCATCCCTGGTTTGTACTTCTAGTATAGAGTCGTCAGCCCACGACACAAATTAATGGCTAACTAAATTTGATATCCTTTGTTCTTCTTTTAACCGTTTGTACTGAATATACCATATACAGCTGTGTTGAATTATATCATAAAATCTTCGACGATTCGGACAAGTTTCACTCTTCAGGATTAGGCTGTTAAATTGTATGACACCAGTTCTGATAGGAAACTGTAAAATTTTATCCACTGCTAAATAAGCCCATCATTCACGATTATTTTGACAGTGTTAGGGTCAGACAAATTGCCGTCTAACGTGTGTCCGACCGTTATTTGCGGGTTTGCGATGCTTACGGGGTGAATTCATTGCTGAAGCATGAAAAAGCATTAAGGATAACGGCGTTCATAGCGTCATGAAATCGTAACAGAATTGTTTCTGCATTATGTAATCCTAAGTTTAGCAACCAAACTACAACTAATAGACAAGATCTATTAACACCTAACGATGGCACTGCGATTATGCGTCGGATCGGTCAGCAAATCAATTTCAGTCACCGAAGTTCGCTTGGAAACACACAGTCGTTTGTAGTTTGTAGTCACTTTTCAATTACTGAATATATATACATATATTTTTTTAAAGCGTATATACGTCTCTGGAACTTCTCGTTGTTAGAAGAACGCTTCTGTGGTGAATCTATACAGCCTTCCGTATTTGTAAGTGCCCACACATAATACGAATCTAACTAAAAACGCCGACACTTTCAGGTTCTATCGGCCAATTATTATTATTATTATGTTCAAGACGTAATTAACTACAATAACATCAGGTTTTATTTACGAAAAGCTTATGTGGTCTAATAATAGCGTAAAGCACCTTTCTGATAAATTCTCTAATAGCCTATATATGAATACACGAGATCAGGAAATTAGAAATAAACATTTTAATAACGGCCAGTTCAACACCAATGTTACAATAGATCGGCCTTTCTCTACGGGTTCAACTCCATTTTCGCTTGATGTCTTAGGGACGTTTGTGGATCGAGTCAAGCGAGGCCCGACTTGGTCTTGCAACGATTGAGGAACATATAATAGTTAAAAAGATTAGTTTAGCCTTGCTCCTCGGACATCTGCACAGCCTTTGTTTAACGAAGCCTAAGTCAAGTTTTAATCAACGGAGAAGTATCAATTAGATTGTTATAGGAAATTAAACGATTTGTAATCTTCTGATTCATAGCTTGACAACGATTCAACATTTTTCCCGCGCCTAAACTCGCATAAATGTATAACGCACAAAAAACGTACCTGTCCGTTTTTCTAGGGGCTAATCATTGTCGAGTAAAGTAGAGAGGAGAGCAAATAGCATAGAAGAAATGTACCACTGTAGAAAACTATCTACATATTAGTGTTTCTTTACCTACGTAGCACCACCCAATAGCCACCGATACAACGTGACCAAATATGAATGCAGGTGTAGGAGAAATTAGTACAGAACAATCAATTATAAAATAATGACGACTTAAGGGAACATAAACTTGTATGACAAATGTGAGCCTTAATTTTAGCGGGACAAGCGAACGACCTCTAGCGAAACAAAGTAAGAGTAACATCGGCGGTTTGAAATTCTACGTTTCAACTGCGAATATGAATATATAAATCCAAGCGTATTTTTTTCGTCTTCTAACGAAATTGCTTAAATCTATTTAATACCATGCACAAATCCATGATGTCATCCGTACAGAAGCAGTGTGGACGCATATAGAGCAAATGCTGAAAAGAAACAAGTGGCTAAGTAGACGGGTTAGAAACAGAGATGGTTTCGATCCAGCCATGTGATTGATATGCACTACACAAGAAAATATTTCTACTTCTTTCCGTAGATACCATAAAGCTAATATTGTGATACGTGCTTTGTAGGTCACGCCGTAACTTATTTCGATTCTATGGTTATGAGATCGAAGTGACTTCAGTGATTTTGAAGTTACCGAGATAACAATATTCACAGTAGATAAATAACAGCGATCAGTAACATTGGTGCACCTGCAGAGTGTGAAAGTATCAGTCGGCTGGACTGGATTGGGCACCGTTTACCTGCTTTCGCACGAGTACTTCGGACTGGGGCTGTGACCGTCTATTGACCGACCGTTCGCGCTTCAAAAGCGTGTCGCGTGTCATCCCACGATCATATATTACATGTTATAATACATCATAGATCATGTCACACCTGCCGTAGTATCTGTTATCGGACTTTGCTGCGCTAACACGTTAAACCAAGCCATTCTAGCTTCATTTAATTGATTCAAACAAGCCTTTATTTTAGCGTCACATGCCCCACATTGCGTCTCTTCATTCGATCATCATCCAACCGCTTACTTTGAGTTGTTTTTTAAAATCTTTCGAGGCACCGATGTTACGGTTGGTGTTTTCTGAGTCAATTCAGCTACTCGCTCAGGTATTTTAGCTTTGAGTCATCCGATCGCTTGCAAACAGGCTGCATCACTTCTGCAACAAACGGATCCGTTTCGGTCTATGGGCATTCTAAACCTAGATCGTCATATTTTTTTTTATCAGAACGCAGCTATCCGAGCTTCCAGATATTTTTTTTCTCTCGATCCTACTAAATTGTAGCTCTCTATTGATTTTACTCAATTTGACTTTAGTTTACGTGCTGGTGCTTCCTTTATCTCGTTCCAGATTATCGCCATCACGATCATTGTTGAGTTGGTCGCATCGCGCTGAGTCTGTCTTTTCGATCCGCGCCTGCCTATTGTCTCTCGTGGACAACTTTCTCCGGGTGGGCGGGCAAATGGCCGTTTGCTAGAAGAAACACCAAAGGTTGAAGGTGGAGGTGTACACTCGCGGCCGTTTTCTTAGAACAGGAACCGTTCAGCAGCGTCTAAGGACGCATCATTGACAGCGGTTGCATCAGTTTCGCCACTGGTGTCACCGGTTACGCATTACCGTACTGAACTGTCGAAGAAGACCATTGCTGCGAACGAAACAGGAGTTACATTTGGTTCGATCAGATAGTCTCGTCACAACCGAGCAAACAAGATCCTCGCACGGCTTGCGCTGTTTGCTGCGGCCGCGCATTACGCTTGAAGAGCCTACTTAAAGGACCGCTGTAGCTCTTGCGGTTACAGCCACAGCAAGCAAAACTGTGATATTCACTAGACGTAACTTGCCTACTGATCTACAGCTATTGGCTTCTGCCGTTTTATCGTTGATGAAGAAGCTGAGTGTTTGAAAGCATTCTCGATCGGTTCAGACAGACACCTCAGACACCCCCTTAACCCTTTCGAGTTAACGTACCTCGCTGCCTTAAGGCTGCTGCAGTTAATTGTGAAAGCAAAAGGACTTCGCCTAACCAAGGGCCGCATGCAGCGTTCGATGCACGGTCTTCGATGGATGCCTAGGGGCAAAGATGAGGCTCCAGAGTATCAGCTGCTCAATTTCTACGGTAGCATGAAAAAGACAATAGGAGCTTTTTTTTAGGGGAGATACCCGTCGATGCAAGCAGGGCCACCTGCAACTACGTACACTAAACTAAAAACTCGCCCTTATTTCTTTGCTTGTATTGGCGGATGAGGCTTCTTAATCATAATTTGTTTTTACATCTGTCTTGTTCGCGTTGCATCAAATCTTGCATCCGTTAACAAAATGCTTATTTGAATTTCAGCTGTTGAACATACAAGCAAAAAAAAATTTGCGATACCGAGAACGCTGAGTCGGAAAGGTTCATCAACTAAGAGTTCGATACCGATATGAAGAGAGCGTGTTCTGTCGTTTTGGCTATTTCCAAAACACAAATCTTAGTCATTTCTATATTACTTCATGACCGCTACATAGAATCAAGAAATGTATTGATATATCTTCACTGTGTGTCTGCGTGTTTCATTTAGTCTTCCTTTCGACTAGATGCCCAAGCTGTGTTCATGCATCTGCGATATTTAACTTCGACAACTCTTTCAACGACCTCTTACTCGCAGGAAAACGGCACGATTGTAGGTGATCACATTCAATCTTAGACAAACGAACCTTATCTTAGGACATATATCCAAGCATAGCGAATTTAAGCGAGCAGCTTCGCAGAGCTCAGCGGGTGTCATTGACGGCATGCGATCTGTTTCCTTAATATCATTAGTCTGCAACGTTAGATAGAGACGCCTAATAGTAGACTTTCTTTCTCCATTCAGTCCTGAAGTGCTATCAGCAACAACAGTTGCAGCAGCAGCAGCAGCAGATGGTGGATGAAAACGCATTGAGTATAGCTTTAGCCGCCGGCAGCGTTAAAATAAATTTTTGAGTTATGAAGAGTCAGGCACGTTATCGATCACTCGAGCCATTTGTTTGTTTGTTTGCGATTGGTCGGGGTAACGCAGAAAAACAATCAGGCCTTAGATCTATCTTAACAGTTAACAAGGACCTCGAAAAAGTAACCTTGGGAAGGGATCGAGATGTGAGGAATATCTCTCTACTGACGAGTTTCACCAGTGTATGGGATGAATAGAGGATTACTGACTGGTTGGAGAGAAAAAGTCTAATGCCTTGTAATGATTCTATTCAGGATATATACTGTGAACTTTTAATAAACAAAGAAGAAAATTTGAAAGACATAGAAAAACTTTGTTTGCCTTATGCGTTACATTTTATTTCATAGACCTTCAGTTTACTATCGTCGAGTGTTCATAAGACCTTAAATCGAATCCATCATCAGCGGCTGGCTACTTATCACAGTTAGAACGCCAGTGCTCCACTAATAAATGATGTACGCTATCAACGCTTCCGTTTCCTAACTATAGTATTTACAAATAAATTATTGTTTGTAATTAAGGATGTGCTTGCTGTACGCGGGCTTTGGCGAAAACAATCGTCATCGTCATTTTATATCATATAACGGCTGCTTAAACTTTCTTGATCCACCAGAATATACTACAGTCATCACTCAACATGACAATTTGTGTTGAACTGCTATCGCCTGTCACGGTTGAACTATCGCCGGGGCGAATTGGAAACCAGGGCATCGTTCGCGTTTTGTAATAGTTTTATTATGGATACAGCTATGTACAACGTTGAATTTCATTGCCACGTGGGCTTCTGGTAACAGGCAAACAGCCCACCAACGACATGACAATGCATCGCATAAAAGTTCTATTTAGCACTCAGCTAAGACATTTGGCGCCTTGTGTTTTTGATTTGAGATCACTTATTTCACTAGGTACGAACTAGAGGAGGTTGGACAAGAAGTGACTTTATCCTCTCAATCTCCTGTCGGAGCGTGTTGGTCTCAATGCGTAACTGAAAGTTTTCCTGCTCGAGCAACGCGGCCCGAACAGCTGTTTCATCCTCCTTGGCGCGTCTGGCATCACGAGAGCGTTTTGCAGCGGCATTATTCCGTCGACGTCTCTCCCAGTATGCGGAATCCTTGAGTTCCTCAGGGAATGCTTTACCTCGTTTCCTAGTCGCTCGAATAGCCTGCGATGTCAGTGTAGTAGATGAATCGCACAGCTGATGGACATTGCCGCTGATCAGTGCGGGGATGTCGGTCGAATCATTCAACCCTGGGCTGGAATTGCTACTGCTGTGATTCGAGTGATCAGATTGCTCCGATGATTCGCGAACGTCGGTGCTTTGTTTATTAGATGATGACAAAATGCCGCTTGTCGGATACGCAGATGAATGGCAATTGATTCGTTGAGTGTTTTTGCTGATTTGTTGTAACAACGCCTGTACAGGAAAATGAAAAAAACGTTACGTCTCGAAAAATTGACTACTTCAAACCAAACAAAATACGCGTTGGTTCAGTGGTATACAAGGCCGCTTATTCTAAACATCTTAGTATCTCAGCCTAACAAAGGACTCATAAACAAAGTGTTTAATGTATCTGAAAGGTATAGCTTTGACTACGATCAGAACAGGCAAACGTGAGGGCGCGTTAAAGTTAACAGCTTTATGCGACTGCTACTTGAAGTCTATCAACTTATGTTATGAAGCACATAGACTAGAAACATCAGATTAAGATGTCATTACGTCGTCTACATGCACCCGTATTACATTCGTGTTACAAAGTGGTTGAACTTACTTGCTGATAGTATTGTGGATTGCCGTCTTGTTGTGCTGTTGACTTCGATAGGGGTAAGCCCGTCAAAAGTAGGTCTGCCGGAAATCTGGGGTCGACCCGAAGAGGAAACGGAGCTACGATTTCGTGACGGGGCATCCAGCTCTGCTCCAAATCTGAGTTGGTGTTCTGTCGTTGTTTGATAGATGAACACGGTTGAGATGGTACCCTTTGCACGGCTACTTGATCAGCTCTATCCATACAGGATCTGCTGAAATCCAGCGGCTGCTCACTCTCAGATGAATGCTCCCACCCAGGGGGAGACATCGAATTTTCACGTTTCATGACAAAGTCCTTAAACTGTATAGCCGCGCTCATGTCTGAATGCTAAAACGTAATGCGAATATGTACGTACCGTACGTTTATAACAGAATTTCTCAGAAGCGCCCATTTTCACTAAGTGTCTATGGTTTCGGTAGCAATGCTCGAGTGAATTTACCGACCCGTTGAATCGGTGTCGCAGAACGCAGCGATTAAAGAACGCCCGGTGGAGTCATTGCCCGTGCCTTGTTAAAGGCATAGACATATTCGAATACTAGTTTGTATGGCTTCACGTGACGAAGTCGCTTTATGTTTTCTTCCAGCGATTGCCGGTCATAGTTCTATAGAACAATCAGTTCGCAATTATTCATGACTGTTTGCACCCAGCTACTTGATACAGCTGTATAGCGTATCGCCATTGGCCATCATTAGCATACCTGGAACGCTCCCTCCGATCTGAGACCTTTGTTTCTATGTAAAACGAATCTACGTCTCAAGGGGACGCGTCCTACGAGTTTGTGAGTTGTATTTTAACGATTTGTGCTACACTTCGCCTTTATGCATACCAATCGCCGCTGGTCGTATGGTTAAGTCATGAGCAGTGTTGTATACGAGCTGCTATGTCATTGTTCAAAAAAAAAGCTCTCATTTATGGATAAACAACGTGAATATGATCCATCGCTAAGTTGAACGGTATCATTACAAATGCAATTACAAGCTTCTGTTTTTGTGGTGTCTGAACTTACCAAGTGTGGACAACAAGCGAATAGTACCAACTCCTGACACGGGTGAATGTTTCATCTAACAAAGTCTAGCGGTAAACACTCTCAATTTTTTAGAATTACTACTCTTGCCGCCGCTGTCGTATCCAAAAAAATTGTCATGAGGCTGTTCTCGATCGAACAGTATCGAGGTGTTCTAACCTTTACGTTTCTGTTCTCGTGCCGATCTTGCGCCTTTAAGGAGTGACATTCCTTCTAGGCATCTCGACTGATGGTTCGAGTTCTGCTGCCCAAAGGATTCGCCCTCGTAGCAAAGTAGATAAACGGTTTGGGAAAGGAGAAGTTGACGAACGGGAGAGGGTGACGCCAATGGTCTTGAAGGATTCAACCCCATCAGCCACCAGAGCGGCGCCTAAATCGAGATACCCTTACATATGTGTGCAGCATAGCGGGTTATGCTGTTTTAGTCAGATGGATGGGGTACATTAGAGTAAAATTGTATCACATACATGGGATAGATTGCGAATGGCATTTGATGATAAGGACACGCACAAAACGTACGCCTACATAACAGTGTGGGCCTTGAAGATCAAGTTCTCATGAAGGAGATTTGTCGGCGGAACCTGTGTCCACCTCAAAGGACGACGGAACTTTACGACTAAAGCCAGATAGAGCCAGCTATACGATGCGACGCAAAGCTAAAAAGGAAAAACGGAACTGTGACAATATGGCATACATTTAATGATATGTAAATCAAGAAAAGAAAAAGGCTTGACCAGCTTCTGAGAATAAGAATTACATTTTCTGGGACATAGCGTATGTCCCTTGATGAAAAAAGCCTGACGGCCAATCATAGATCGCTATAAACTCTAGAGCAATTGAAACAAAAAATAATCTTTACGCCTTATCGGCTTTGCAAGATTATTGTCACGTAGACTGGTTTCATTACGGTCTATCGTTGATATCGACTTTTGGCCGGCATCCACGGAAAACATCTGTTCCATTTCCTGGCCCAAACAAGAATCGATCAAAAGACACCGAATATACCTGATCGAATTCTTTATGCTTTCACATTCCATTCTTGAGTTTTCAATTTGTGACGTGGGGCGATGGTTCGACGTATCCGGTACGGCCGATCAATCAGGTCAGGTTAGGTTATATTGGGGTGCTGGGGGTTGAGGGAACGTTTTAGAAGAGCTAGCGATCAGCCTGAGTCATAATTGCACATTAGAACAATCAGCGGTCGTCTTGTCGGTGGCTGAATTAGCGAGCAAGCAGCAGGTTCGATCCTGGAAACTTTCTTCTGCGTAATAGGACCTAACTGAGCGAAGACTCTGGCAAACGTCGCCACGTACATGGGGGCACTTAGTGTGCCCTTTTGAGCGAACATAGCCCCTTCGAGACTCTACTCAACGTAAATGTTTTCTAAACCGACCAAGAATATTTGAAACATTCGTCAAGCCCACTAAAAAATCCACGCTATATTTTTGGTAGGGTAATACTTTTTGGCATTCAAAGAGTCGATTAGAAATAGGATTTTACAGCTAAACGGCCCGCGACCATGAAGTGTTTCAAGGTCGAGCACACAACAGAATATCCGAACCAACTGCAAAAAACCATAAAAATGTACTTGTGGGAATTGGAACTGTGACAGAAGGGCTTAGTCTTATTGCATGTCTAATCTACTGCTGGCGTCTGTATGTTCGTGCGGTTACTCACGGAAAGAACGCTTTTTTTTTTTTCAGTTCCATAGCCGTTCTTCTTCATTAATTTTTTATTTGAAGCAATCATCTTCTTGACTTGGTAATAGGTAGTCGAAGTGCTTCATCTGTGACGACCGAAACAGCCGAAAATTCAATGAGCCAGACTCACGAAACTTCCGGTGGCAACCATGAACTTCGCAGATATTACGACAAGGATTACAAAACTTAAACTTGTTCGCTCAGCGGCCCAACCATCAAACTTAAAGCACCTGCGCGTGCATCTGTATATAATCATAATGCATAGGGTTTTATTGGGTTCGACTGTGGACTCGTACAGTACGAGGCTTAGGTATTACGTTTTCAGTTGTCCTAAGAAGAAGAACGAGTTGAAGTTTATGATAAACAGGACTTGAAGGGTGCCGCCATTAATTGCACGCGACGATCTGAAACGTGCTAGCGGACGGCTACGGCCGCTGCTGCTGCTGCTGCAAAGGGCCGCCCGACAACGATAGCCATTACCATTTGTCGATGTTTCCACGATTGGCGCCACCGTCCATCGGGTCCTCACGAATATTCAAATGCACGAAAAGGCGCGTATTGATAAAGGGTCACGAATAAAATACGCTATGATACGATGTCGCTCAATATATAGATACGATAGCATGTATGATACGAACGAAGGCACGAAAATCCTGCCCAAAGATCGTAGAGTATCTCGGCGGAAGAAGCTCGAGAGAACAAGCGGCCTAGAAATGCCGGCCGGGGCATTATTTGTTTATATTGAGGCTTCTTTTGTAGTGTACTAATATAATCATCTGTAATATCGGTACAAATAGAAATAGGAACTTCTTTGTGTAATGAGATTTGCTTGGATAAAAGTACAGACCAACAAGTAAACGTCTTCGCTGATTTTCAGCTACAAAATAGTTGGAATCGAGCAATCGAAGAGACATAGCAAAATGATTGAGCTGATCGATGTTGCCTCTAGCAAACAGGTAAGTTGGCTCCAAACGCAAGTTCGAAGCTGCTAGAACACGCACACTCGGAAATTTCCTCGCTGTTGTTATTATTATTCAAGCTGAAAAATGAATTCGAAATCATAATACTTGCCAGTATCCTCATTCAACACAACCCATTTTGCCACAACTGGTAAAAAAATGTGCCCAAAACTTCATATTAATTGACAAGTAAGCATATTTTTATAGAAACCAGATTTTAAAAGGATTGCGCTTCTTTTTGAGTAGCCTATAAGCTTCAGAGCAAGACACGAGCAACCACTTTGTAGTTAACCGTAGTAGTAGCAGCAGCAGCAGCAGCAGCAGCAGCAGCAGCAGCTCTACGTCGATGTATGAAATCAAGAGTGGTCTGTCTAATATAAATTAAGAAAAAAAAATAGTAATACAAGGGAAAGCTACGATCTGCGCAATATCTGAAGTGCAGCCCTAGCCTATTTGACGTTTGTCCTTCAAACAAGGCTTGTGAAAATCAATTCCTTATAAACGATCCAAGTGGCATGTTCGTCGTACCAGAAAAAATCTTAGATAATTCGTAAATAATATCATATGTACGAACTATCCAAAATTAAACTGAAATCCTCTTTCAATATTTGCAACGCCATCTCTGTTCCATTACCAAACACATGATTGATTTTTCTAACACTGATCAAGCGATCGCGAAGTCGGCGATGGGGATACACGGAAGGTGGCCTTACAACCCAATATGGAATTGCTGGTCTGAGTCAGTATGGAACAAGCAATATTAGTAAGAATATTTAAAGATGTAGAAAAATATTCACTTGAAATTCTACTTAGAAGCGATCAATACTTTTTCGATGATCCAACATAAATAAACGCGTCGCTCAAAGAAACAAGTTCCCTTATAGTAGGGGTGTAGAATAACCACGAATCCCGTGTGTTCCGTCGTCAGGTGGCCGATGAAACTTGTTCATGCAAACGATGCAACGCTTCTAAATACGGTATAAGCTGTAATATATTTGGGTTTGCCTTACCGCCCGTAGATTTGACCGGCGTATGCAGCATAATAGGTACGAGCGGGCGGGCGACCGATTGACCTAACGATGGTAGTCTGCCGACTCGGCCTGTTTCATCTATGGAAATCCTTCGAAACTCTCGCGTAAGCACTAACACGTCATTGTTGACCGTTCGACTCAAGACAATGAGGCCACTACTCATTGCTAAGCTGATCTTATAAGCGATGGGATGTATCAAATGGGTAGAACTACCGCAATAAATGTTAAAAGTATGCCTAGATAATAGCAAATGTTCATAATGACAATAGCACTCATAGAATCCTCTCGTGCCCAAAGTAAGGAGGCACCAACGCCGCCCCAACGCGACCCATATTACCTGAGACGTGTTACCGTAAAGCCATCTAGCTCGGAAAACGGTCAACAATCTTTTGACAATCCAACGTTACGTCAGTGTAATACTGGATTGTCGAAAATTGATCGTATTGGCCATTTTTTTTTTCTAGCTGAATAAAATTCCGTCATTTAAAATGACTACTAAGACTGTTGAAATGATCCTATCTAAATTTATCATAGAGAGCTCTAAAAATGATAAAAACGTTTCTCAAAAAAATCTATATCTGTCACAATTTTATCACGATACCAGGTCAAGATATGCTATCGGATGTTACGGCCTGAAAATGATTGTTTCGTCCTGGAAGTGTTGATGTGGTCCTTGAAGTGGAAAGTTAAGGAAATTATTGCCACAATTGGACCAGATCGACGCGTGACTTGGCGCACGATTTTACCAAGGGACTAAATATCCATCACCAAACAGTTTTAATCTATTTGAAGATAAACGGAAGCTCAATGTTTGAGTGCTGCACGAATTCACATCAGATCATGTATTTCATAGTATTGAATGATTTATAACTATAATAGAAGTGATATGAAGTAGCTCATTGATAATTATTAATGTGCAAAAAACCAATGTCAAAGCACACACAACTTCAGCTACCCGGGGAAAAACTGACAAAGCTTAGATAGGAAATTTTAGCTACCCTGAGAATCCGGAATTATCTGTTTCGATATATCTGCGAAACTCCTTTAGTAGTGATACTTAGATTTGATAAAGGAATCTATAGGTCATTTGGCATTACTGTTCGCCCGAAAAGGATCGGCAATTAGGGAATTATGATGCTAGCAGAAAAATGGCGCCTCATTTTGTAAGAGATACTGGCTTCAATTTGGGCCTAAAACTACCCAATACGATTAAAACAAATATATGAGATTGATTGTTGAAGTATATAGTGGTCGATAATAATTAGCCCTAGACAAAGGTTGTTCTGAACAGCTTCTTACTGATTAAATAGTACTATTCATTTTTATCCACTTCAGCAAACCCGTGTCTACAATGCAGAACTAACACAATATATAATCATTATCACTAGAGTGTATAATGCGAATGAAGGGTTTTCTAGTGAAAACTAGCAATAATCTACCCAAAACAGCTAGTTAACGTACTATTTGTACTATATCTGCCGTATGCACTATGATGTTCTCTTGTTTGGATCGAAAAACTCTGTGCCTCTCCTGAGAGTTCC